CATGTGAGGACACAACTAAAGGTCACCATCTATGAAGAGTGGAGACTCAACACACATGGATATGTGCCATTGCCTTGATTTGAAAATTTCCAGGCTCCAGAAATGTAGATCATGAATTTGTGAGGCAATTTTTAAAGACACTGTAGAGCACGGGGAAACTGATTTATGATACAGGGTGTGGTAAAGGACAGACATGAACGTGAAATTTAAAGAGGCACAGAGAGAGATCCAGGAGGTTTCCCAGAGCAGGAGCCTCTGCCCCCATGCACTCAGAGGGTACTGCCTCTACAAGGATTTCCTCACTGACTCCCTAAACTATACATTCTAGGGGTTTTGATGATGATTTAAGCATATATGCATCACTGATTATTTAATCCAACTTTATCCTATATTCTACCAGAGGGTGTGATGTAGGTTGAAAGTGCCAAAGCAACATGTTGTCTTTCTCACTGCTGGGACACCCCAACACCCACAAATTATAGGAGGGAAGGTTTATTGAACACACAGTTTGTAGAAGTTTCAGGCCATAGTCACTGGCTGTAGAACAGGGTGGCATGGAAGAAAAATAGTATGCCTGGCATGTCAGGCAAAAGGCAGCAAAGCAGCCACATTGAGTCTTACTTTCCCTTTTTTTCCATTCAGGCTACAAGCCTATTGGATGGTGCCACACCTAGAGTGAGCCTTCCCATAATCCATACCCAGAACTATGCCAAAGCAATCAGTGGACTAATTTATTTATCATGTACCCTGAATCCATATGCACCCACCATAAATCCAGCCACCTACAAAAAGTCCCACCTATGAGCATATAAAGCTTGGTGGGGGGATCTAGATTCAAGGCATAATGCATTTATGTTTACTTACTATCTTCCATCTAGAGTCCTTGTAAGAATAAAAGGCATTCTTATAATCCAGGAGGTTGCAGATTATTTGGGAGTTTGTGAAAAGAACTATGATCAAAGACCTAGCACAAAAACAGAAGATGCTTTTAACACCCAATCATTCAAGAAAGTATGACAATAATTTCTCTCATAGGACCCAAGGGCAGATACGAAATATGCATTTCATTTTGGATAACAACCTATAATGTGGAATAACAATGAATTCATTGATTAAGCAATGAATTATAAAAGTGACGTGTGGCAAGGCTCAATTTTGTCACAGTTAAAAGTTACAGATAGAGCCAGGGATTTAGCTCAGTGGCATAGTGCCCGTCTGGTAAGCTTGATGTCCTGAATTCAATTCCCAGTACAGAAAACAATAACAGACAACCAAATGGAGAAGTCTGATCATGGCCACAGTGTTTAAGCCATGTCTGAGATATTTTCCTTTGGAAGCATTAGTAAAATAATACACTATTTTATTTTGTTGGACTAAGCTTTAATATTTACTATAAGGTTTTCCAAATAAATATTTAATTTGCCAAAATATATTGGAATATATTTATAAATAAAATGTAAGGAATTTTGAGGGGAATTGTTTGATTTATCAACCTTCATCATAACACTAACCTACCTACTGAACCCCAATCTCAACTAGAAAACTATCCCTAAAACCGAACCTGAACATGCATGCTCACCCCAATTCTCACACTGTAACTCTGTAACTGTCACCCTAATCTGGAGCCTAACACCAATTTCTGCCTTTACCCTAAAACCCTAACCCTAACCCTAACTCTGATTCCTAACTCTAACCCTGTACCTCACCCTAATCTGGTCTAACTCTAAATGTAACCTTAACTCAAAATTAATCCTAACCCCACCCTCATCCTAGTATTAAACCTACCCCCAAGCCTAACTCAATATTAAGGAACTTCCATTGTATTGTGGAAACTCAGCCCATCTGAACCCTGTCCAGACACCAGGGCTGGGATCTAGCCAATAGCAGAGCTCTCACACTTCCTGCAGTCCAGTTCCTTTCTTGTTTTGGTTCTCCAGTTCTGTGGATGGCTGTGCTATTAATTTGGTATAGATTTCATATCTTTTCAGTAAAGTGTTCATGTAGTTCCGTCCTTTGCCACAGAGGCCTTGCTATTTGAAGCTGTTGTTATTATAAAAATCTATTTTCTCTATTCAGTCTTTCCTTTCTGTATTATAGTCATGCTTTGTCTGTCCTGGACTAATTTCTAAAATTAATCACATGTCTTATGTTTTACTCTGTAGCTCAAGAATTTCTTTTGAGAAATAAGGTCCTACAGAGCAGAAATACACAACTTATGACATACTTAACAGATTCATCCTACTTTCTATTTCTCTGTGGCTCATGAGTGTTATTTTTCTTATTCTTTTGATCTTTTTGTTCCTCTCTCTCTCTACCCTCCCCACTCTCAAAAACAGATTAACCTAAAACCAGAAGGAAACCAAAACAAAAAATAGATCAACTAGACAAAAAATCAACAAAAATATCGCTAACCCAAACCTTCAAACAAACGGGGATGATAAATACTGCAGTGTCCCACACAACAAGTACAGAATACATATTCTTCTCAGCAGCACATGGAATTTTCTCTAGAGTAGATCATATGCTGTCCTATAAAGCATGACTAAGTAAATGCAAAAGAATCAAAATTACACCATGCATATTTTCAGATCAGATTGCAACGAAACTACAAATCAATGGCAAAAACATCACAGAAATTATTAAAACACATAAAAATTAAACAATACCCACTTGGATAATAAATTCATCAGAGAAGAAATCAAGAAAGAAATTAGTTCATAGAATTCAACAATCAAGCCAGTAAAACATACCATAACCTATGGGACACAGTCAAAGCCAGTCATGAGAGAGAAGTGTCTAGCTGTGAAAGCTTACATGAGAAACAAGGGTGAGCCCAAATAAAAAACCTAATAATGTATTCCATATCTCCTAGAAAAACAAGAACAATCCAAATCCAGTGGTAGTATTAGGAAGTAAATTATAAGGAACAAAGCAGAAATTCATGAAATTGAGTCTAAAAAATACAACGAATCAATGAATCAAATACCTGGTTCTTTAAAAGAATAAATAAAATAGACAAACATCTAGCGAGTCTTGCCAAAAAGAGGAAAGCAAAGACCCAAACTACAGCCATTATTTTCTTTTGAGAAATAAGGTCCTACAGAGCAGAAATACACAACTTATGACATACTTAACAGATTCATCCTACTTTCTATTTCTCTGTGGCTCATGAGTGTTATTTTTCTTATTCTTTTGATCTTTTTGTTCCTTTCTCTCTCTACCCTCCCCACTCTCAAAAACAGATTAACCGAAAACCAGAAGGAAACCAAAACAAAAAATAGATCAACTAGACAAAAAATCAACAAAAATATCACTAACCCAAACCTTCAAACAAACGGGGATGATAAATACTACAGTGTACCACACAACAAGCACAGAATACATATTCTTCTCAGCAGCACATGGAATTTTCTCTAAAGTAGATCATATGCTGTCCTATAAAGCATGACTAAGTAAATGCAAAAGAATCAAAATTATACCATGCATATTTTCAATTTTCATTCAGATTGCAACGAAACTACAAATCAATGGCAAAAACATCACAGAAATTATTAAAACACATAAAAATTAAACAATACCCACTTGGATAATAAATTCATCAGAGAAGAAATCAAGAAAGAAATTAGTTCATAGAATTCAACAATCAAGCCAGTAAAACATACCATAACCTATGGGACACAGTCAAAGCCAGTCATGAGAGAGAAGTGTCTAGCTGTGAAAGCTTACATGAGAAACAAGGGTGAGCCCAAATAAAAAACCTAATAATGTATTCCATATCTCCTAGAAAAACAAGAACAATCCAAATCCAGTGGTAGTATTAGGAAGTAAATTATAAGGAACAAAGCAGAAATTCATGAAATTGAGTCTAAAAAATACAACGAATCAATGAATCAAATACCTGGTTCTTTAAAAGAATAAAAATAGACAAACATCTAGCCAGTCTTGCCAAAAAGAGGAAAGCAGAGACCCGAACTACAGCCATTAGAATTGAAAAAGGCAAAATCACAGCAGGCTCTGCTGAACTCAAAAGACCATAAGTAACTAATGGTCTCTAATAAAATGGAGAATTCAGAAGAAATAGATAGATTCCTAAATATATATGAACTACCAAAGCTGAACCAAAAATATATAAAAATCCTGACTCACCCAATATCAGACAATAAAATTGAAGAAATAATTAAGAAAAAGATCAACGAAGAAAGCACAGGTCCCTGTGGGAGTCATCTAATGCCAGTACTCATCAAACACTTTAATGAAAAGAAAAGGTATTCCCAAAGTCATTCCTGTGAGATGGCATGACCATGATTCCAAATGAAGACAGTCCCAGCCTAAAAACAGACTTACAGGCCAATCTCTCTAATGCATATTAACACAAATGTCTCAACAAAATACTGGCAAAGAGAGTACAAGAAATTGTCAAAAATACATCATGAATCATTCCAGGGGCACAGGTAGACTTTTCAATATATACAAAGCAATAAAAGTAATACACAATATAAACAAAAATAAGGACAAATCACATGATAATCTCAATGGATGGTGAAAAAGCATTTGACAAAAAACAACATCCATTCGTGATATTAAAAAAAAAAATCACTGAAGCAAACAGTTGTAGAAAGACCTCATCTCAAACTGACAAAGGCCAATTTAGGACAAACCAACAATCACCATCATATTAAGTGAGAAGAAGCAGAATGCTTTGCCTCTAAAATAGGAACAAGATAAGGATGTCCAACATCACCATTCCTTCTCACTATAGTTCTTAAAACATTATCTGGAGAACTCAGGCAAGAGAAAGAAATAAAGATAATATACAGGAAAGGAAGAAGTCCCACGTGGACAGGTGCATCTATGTACTGAGAAGGCCTCTTGAGCATGCGCTGCATGCGCAGAAGCAGTTAGGCCTGGTGCGCATGCGCAGGGGGCAGTTATGCCTGGCGCGCATGCGCAGCATGAGACGCATGCACAGAGGCAGTTAAGCCTGGTGAGCATGCACCACAGGCTCAGAGGCACTTCGTCCTTTTGCTTGGTAACAGAGATTCCACCCGGGTGGAAGCCAGCAGCAGAGCCTAGAATTTGTTCTACAAGCTCAGTTGGCTAAACTTTTCGTTGGAGAAAGGCTGAACGGGAGGGCTAGGATGTCGATAGCCTCAGCCATTAGGAGGCTATTTGGCCTCAGTAGTAGGGGCCGGGTGCCCTCAGACCCCTCAGGCCTACAGGGCAGTTGCGGGGATCCGCAGCACAGAGCCCGCCCCAAGGCCATGGGCAAGCTACACAAGGCTGCCAGTGTGGGTGACACGGCAAAAGTGGAGCAGCGCCTCATGCTGAGGAAAAGTGGTGTCAATGACAGAGACAAGAAGCACAGGTAATGGGGCTTCAGGGGAGGGTGTGCAGGTGGGGCTGGGAAAGTGCAGGAGCAGTGGCAGGTCCAAGGTTGGAGGGCTGGACAGGGTGAGGAAGGGGAGAGGCAGGCAGGGGGAGGGCCCGAGAGGGTGAGAAGGGGATGAGGAGGGGGGACAGGTTAGAGGGGGGTCTATCCCCAGGCAGCCAAATATTTATGAGCAGCAAAATAAAATCAATCAGCGGTGATAGATCACTTGATTGACTACTTAAAAGAAATTTAACCACAGGAACAAATGTGTGTACAGGATTTTATTCTTAAAATCACATTAAGATAACTTTTATGCATTTTAAAAGAATACACTGAAATATTTCCCATAATATATCAATATTTTATATATAATGCATAATATTAATATATCATTTAAATAACTCCAATTAATGCAAACATTATAGGCTATTAACATGATATAAGACAAATAATATCAATAGAAATAAAAAATGGGATAAAGGAACTGGAGGGGGAAGAGGATTTAAAAAAGAAAGAAAGATTCTGCTACCTGCCTGTACAAGGTCCTGAGTTCAATTTCTGGTAGGGAGGGAGGAAAGGGGGAAGGAAGGAAGGGAGGTGTTGTTTAATATATAATATATTTATATATCTATATTATGTATTATATTTTATATCAATACATTAGATGATAATATAATATATATTATATATATCACATTACATATATTAATACATTATATAGTGATATGATATTATATAAATTCAGGGCTAGAACTTATTTGAATAAAATCTAGTATCCATTTTCTATCAGCCTTCACCTGTGCACATATGTTCTTTACTGAAGAATGTTACACGGAAACTGAAATTGAAACATGGCTCCATGTTCTTGACTAGAAATATTCAGTAGTCCCAAAATGTGAACTTTCTGTTCATCAGTTTTCTATAAACCCAATAAAACTGTCTCCTAACGCTTGACTTTACACACCCTCTTTTTCTATTTTGTCACTAAGAAAACGTAGTGAAGTCCTGCCTTGCTGGGTATCAAAACAAATTGTTTGCTAATCTCCCAAAAGACAAATAAATGAATGTAATTTAATAGAAAATCCAGAAACACTCAAGTATCTGTAAGAATTTAGAACTGAATACTGGTGACAACCACATGAGTTGGAAAATCAGAGTTACCCATGAATGAAATGCCTATTAACTGTTTGAAAATTATGAGCTAGAAATTTTTTTTCACAAAAATTCCTAGAGTATAGGTTACATTTTAGAAATAATACAATATGAGAAGGGTACCAAAAGAAAACACAAATGCCTATTTGTGCCTTCCTAAGAATGACCTCAAAAGCAAGCACTCTTTCTTTTTTTGTGTTCGGAGTTGTGCTCAGAGCCTGGTGCGAGCTAAACACACAACCTGCATAGAAACAGCCATTCTGATGTTTGACAATCAAAAGAAAAATCAAACTCTCCTTTATTTTAGAGAAAAGTTAACAAAATGAAAGACAATATACTTGCAAAAGATTTACAACATACATCAGATGCAAAATGTTTCTTTATTTTACAGAAATATTTTTCACCTCATCGAGGGAAAAATACTGAATTCTTATTTATTTATTTTGAAGTTGGGGATCACCAGTAAGCTACACTGAACTCTAAATTGGGTAAAGTATTCATGTTCAGACCTACAAGTGACCTATAAACATAGCAAAAAATACAGAGAGTCCCTGGTAAAGGGAATTTAATTTTAAAAAGGAATGAAATGCTGTTCCACATCTACAAAGATTTTGAAGATGAAGAGCAGTTTATACTGCTGCTTAAAATTTGTGGTGGCTAATGACTTATTTAAATAGACAATTTGGTGTGAGTTCTGTAGCATATTTTTAAAAAGCATGTTTCCACCCATCAATTCCATATTACTAAAATATCTTTAGTAAATAGAGACTCATGTCATTGGCTTTTCTTCAGCATTGCTTAAGGAGAGTCCATCAAAGAGATCATATTATTTGCACTGCATTCATAGGATAGAATAATATGGCCATTGAAGTTGGCATAGACATTGATGTATGTTGACATGAAAAGATGTACTCTGGTATATCAAGTGAGAAAAAGTCAGTTTGATTTTGTGTACATAAAAATAGACTGAAGTCTGTGTTAGCCAAAACGTGTGTACAAAATTGGATAAAATTTGTTTTCAGGCATTTGAATAAATGAACTTTTCTGTTCCTTTTTTATTATTTAGAAGTTTTTTTCTATTTCTAATATTTAAGATTTTCTCACTATCTTTTTGTTTCTAATTTTATTTCATTGACCTCAGAAAACATACTCAGTAATAGTTCAGTATTTTGATGTTTTTTGAGTCTTGCCGTCTGGATTATCATGTGATGAGTTTTGTAAATAGTTCTGTGTGCCTTTCTTTCCTTTCTCTTACCTGTGATTCATATAGTGAATGTATATAAAATTCAAAGAAAAGTTTACTGTTAATAAACTGGAGAACAACAGGAATATGAATTAGCACAGATAACAATTTTGTACTTTCTGTGTGTGTATTGGTATTTCTGCCAGCTCTAGGCTCCTTCAGAAGTAAAAGAATCTGTGCTTAGAGAATTTTTTATTATATGTATACATAATTCTGTGCATTGTACTATATATAGATTTACTACATATATGCAAGTCTAGATCATTTTAATTGTATCTTTATGGAAGTAAAAAATATCACATATAAGTGATTATTATTGTTGAAGAATTGCTGCTTTACTTTATACTCCCCAAGTATTTATCCATTCTTTCAATCCATTTATTCACCAAACATAACCTGAATACCTATTATATATTCTACTATCAGGATCCCTCCCTCCTTAAACCATCATGCTTACTTGTTCAGTCTAGCAAGTTGAGAGATTCAAAATTGAAGAACTTCAATTATTTTTTCAGCTTTAATTGAGTTTATTGGTAAATTTTAGGGGTACAGTACAGTTACATTCATTGTTGGGATCTTGTGCCTCTACATGACAAGTCTTGATTCTCATTTTTTCCCCTTACCCCTGCCCCCCTTCGCCCCCTCCGCCCAAGAGCTTCAGTTTTAATTGAAGCTTTCCTTCTTTCTTTTCAAGCCAAAACATCCTCTGAAGATAGGAAGTTATGTGACTCACTAAAGACTCTTGAAAATGTGAAACAGTACTAAAAGCTAATATTAAGCATTAGAAATATTTGATTTCTGTGCACTCTATAAATATAAATACTGAATAAAATGGGCTGTACCTACTCATTTGAAACCTCTGTTTTATTCAGGTTAAAATGAAAATCAAACTAAGGGTTGTTATTTTATATTATTTTACTTTGTTATTTAGCCCTCCTTCCTTGTAGTAGTTTTTAAATGCCAACCATGTGGCCCCTGCTGCCATAGACCTGTTGCTGTATCATATTTTACTTAATGTATGGCACGATGGATTATGTGATGACTTTGTATGAAGAACGCTTTTTCAGTGCACTTCTGCAGGATTTTCGTGTACAGAGATGAGATGTTGAGTCCATTTTCCCAGGAAGCAATTTTATTCGTGGCAGCACTGACTCAGTGAATTGGGATTCGTATGCAAAGGTTGAGTGCTGAACATGGATAGTTGCACCTTCTTCTGCAGATGATTTATTTTACTTAATTGAAATGCTGTCTTTCTTAAGTAGTGATTACAACATCTAATGATTATTGTTATTTGTTCTAGAAATAGTGCTAAATATTTTGTATGGATTCTTATTTAACCAGCACAGTAGTACACTGTGAGATAACTTCATTCATCATTTTGTAGATGAGAAAATTGAGGCATAGAAAGGCTCAAAGATAGCTAGAAAGTAAGAACTTAAATGAAATATTAAATCCAAGTTGAGCTCAATCCAAAACTTGCTCTTTCTGTAACAGTACGCTGCTCTGGGATGGGGAGGCTGTTGTGGCTCAGTGTAGAGCTCCTGATTAGTGTGGGCAAGACCCCAGCTCCCATCCCTGTACCACACACACAAACACAAAATCACCTGGCTGCACTTCCATGAATTGGTGAGTAATAAGTATTGTACATTTTAGAAGAAAATTAGCTATTTGTGTTGAAGACTATTTAATGTTCACCATTACAAGAACAATGGTGCATTTTGAAATAGAGCTCTGTAATTTCCTAAGATTCTTTCTCACTGTCATAGGACTGCTTTGCATTTTGCCTGTGTCTATGGCCATCCAGAAGTGGTGACTCTCCTGGTGGAGAAAAAATGTGACATCGATGCCCATGACAGGGAAAACAGTACCGCCCTGATTAAGGTGGGTAGCAGGCACCAATTTTAGCATGAGATGGATTACATTTAATTGCTGAAATAAAATTTAATTGATGTAATTTAATATAACTACTTGAGGCATGAGGAAGGTCTCTTTTGAGTTCCCGGAGTTGACATCCTCTTCTTACAATACCCACAGGCTGTACAATACCACCAGGAAGAGTGTGCAACTATTCTCTTGGAACACAGTGCCAATCCGAATGTTGCAGATGCTAACGGCAACACTGCTCTCCACTATGCAGTCTATTGGGAAAACTCATCAATAGCAGCAAAACTGCTTTCACACCATGCAGATACTGAGGCCAAAAATAAGGTATAGTTCAACCAATTTCTTTTCCAAGGTATTTGAAGTAGACGCATGTTAACAGTGACATACAGCTAGGGTCAGTTTTTCATAAGCTCAAGCGTTCCATGAATAAAAACACAATATTTAAAATAATTTAATAGTTAAAGATTTCACTTTAAATGTTGATAATGTTAAAGAAACACTAGAGGATAAAGGTTGCTTTTATGAAGTTATGGCAATATTTGTGAAAACACTGAAGTTTTAAGAAGTAACCCTTTTCTTTTTTCTATTATTTCTATCAAAGTATTTTTTCCTCCCCTTCCTTAGTGTAAAACAACAGAAGACAGCAACATTTGGCTTGGAAATAGGCTTTATTTTAAAATTTAAACAGAACAACCTCATCTCATAATAAGTGGAAATCTTGTTGCTGCTGACAAGTCATAAAAGTGATTCATTTTTTAGTGGTCTCACTTAAATGGGAAAACTGGAAAGGGAAAATGATTAGAAATATGCAGGTCAGTGGAGGTTATCATTTTTTCATTTTGTTTTTTTTTACCGGGGATTGAACTCTGGACCTTGATCTTAGAAGGCAGGTGCAGTACCACTGAGCTAAATCTCTTGTCCCTTGTTTGTTTTCTTCTTTTTGGAAAAATATTTTTCTGGTCTCTCTATATAGACAAGATGCTCTTTGTATGTTTTTATTTCTCTGTTTGTTTTTATTTAAACCAAAACATTTATTGGTAGATTTTATATATAAAATGATAACACTCACCACTGGGAAATTTGCACCTGTACATGTTATACCCCGCCTCTTGTTCTTTCCATTGTTCCTTCCCTTTGACCCCCTCCCCTCCCTATATAGAAACGCTTGCTTTGTTTCTGTGTTCACTTTTTTGCTTGTCCCATCCTTCCTATCCCCTTCCCTCTCCTTTGTGCCCCTTCCCATTTGAACATTTTCTTACCATTTCCCAATGCCTGTTATACATTTTAGTCTTTATTTCCCCTTTTAGTTTCTCACACCAGAGAAGCAATGCAGTATTTAAACAATGTGTGTCTGATTTTCAGTTTTGAGAATAGTTTTTTTGCAATACTGGAGATTGAACCCAGGGCCTTCACACTGAGCTACATCTGCAGCTCTTTTATGTTATCTTTTATTTTGAGACAGGGGCTCACTTTGTTGCCCAAGCTGGGCTTGAACTTTTAGTCTTCCTGCCTCAGCCTCCCACAGTGCAGGGATTACAGGCATGCACCGCTGTACCTCGCTTAGGAATAAAAATTCTTAGTTTAGAAAGTTGTATATTTGCAAAGTTGCAATTTTAGGAGAGCTCCGATGAAGCCAGATTGGCATTGGCTGGATGGTGCTTACATGGTAAGCAAGAGGAAATGAACAAATAATTAGCAGACATTCTCTCTGTTTCAGGCAGAAACAGCAACTGATATAATGATCTAAATTCTGCTTTCAAACCTATAATGTTTTGCTGGGAGCTGGGTGATAAGGGGCTTGTATAATGCATTTTGAATTTTGTAGTCTGGTCCCGCCCCTACCCAACAGGATTAAATGGAGCTTTTAGGGAGTAACTTTCTCTTACTTTCCCTTTTGAAAATCCCCAAATGGTAAAAAGAATCGGCTGTGTAGATGAGAGAAGACCAAAGTTTGACCTTCTAGGTTCTCTAGCTCTTATCTAGACTTGCACTTCTCAGAGGTCTGGGGAAAGTTTTGAAAATGTATGAGTTGCGACTGTCCCCTGAGATTTTGATTGAGTAAATCTAGTAAGGTCTGGACATGGATATTTACAACTGTTCCCTCAAGATTCTGATATAGCTCAGAACCATTTAATAAGCAAGTATAATGATGAATTCCCAAATCTCAGGAACTTAAGAAATCTGTGGAAGAGTTTGATTAAATACCACTTTCTTCCAGTCTCTCCTTTGCAACATATTAGCTCAGCTTTCATTTGTCTTTCTCCACCTCTGTCAATGGGAAGTTAGGAGGAGTATCGTTGGTGCTGTTGCTGTGCAGAATACCACCACTTTCCCGCCAACCTTCAGTCACTGACTGCTGTTGAGAAGCTCTGCAGAAATTCACTTATGGTTAGGCTGAGGCTGAATCTTTAAGAGTTTTACATCTCATTATTATCATTCAGAGGATGAGGTCAACAAATGTTGATTATTTTCAGAATTCTCTGAACTGAATAGTGGCAACCATGAGCCTGTTTTTAGTTGAAGGCATGTGGTAGACATCTCAATGTTTTAAGTTCACTGAGCCCTGGCAGAAATCAGTGAAGTTAGTCAGAAAGTAGATGAGAATGCTTTTTGAGCATT